TGGTTGTTTGTGTGTGTGTGTGTGTGTGTGTGTGTGTGTGTGTGCAGTTAACGGCCTGGCCGCGGGACCACTCCTGCCTGTGTCATTTTGTGGTCTGACGAGGATCTCTTTGACAAAGGTAATATCATCATCGATATGGGCACGGATAGTAATCCCAATGAGTGCTAAACGGGCTTAAGAAAGTTTCGTGGAAAGCAAAAGCCCACAATATCTATTTCCAGGGGAAAACATAAACTTAGGAAGCTTTCTCATGATGAGAATGTAAATTACCCCACCAATGCGGGAAAGCAAGCTGGCTATCCTTTTATATCAAAGGCCTTAAAAATGCTTCTATACAGTACTTTGATCCAGAAATTATATTTCTGTGAGTACCTCATATAGTTAATACTTTAGAAATGCACAAAACTGTAGTAAAAGATCTTCAATGTAACATTCTAGCAGTAAAAACAAACTAACCAACCCACAAAACCCAAGGAATCTAATTAAATGTCTAACATTAGAAGAAAAGCTATACAAATCATGTAACATCTGTGGAATACTATGCAGCCATTAAAATGATGGGAAATGATCTGCAATACAATGCCTTGTACATATTTTGCTGAAAAATACGAGACTATAAATCATGATTTCAACTTTATGCAAGATATCTTACACATAGACAAGATAATTAAAAGAATATATACATAAATTCCATAAGGATTATTTTTAGGAGAGAATGGTATTACTAATATCTATTTCTTTTTAATAGACTCTGTGCTGTATAAGAAAACAGCAAATGGTAGGGAGCTGATATTAATCCCCAACAGACTGCTATGGTGAGGAAGTGTAAGTGGCTTAGAGGTGCTGAATTAGACATTTCTAGAGAAGTTCCAGGTTAAGATTTTTAAGTGAAACCTACTAATTTTAAAGCGAAAGCAACAATAAACTCACAGTTAAAAGAAAACAGCTGCCTGTGTTGGGCGAAATGTCCAGCCTCTCGGGTGGCAATCAGAGCTCACCGTGGGCAGTGCGATGTCTCTCTGCTCTTCAGCTGCCTGTGGCTGCCAAGCACTCCGCTGGGTCCCTGTTAGGGGCCACACGATGGAGTGAACATGGGGCCTGGACACTGCTCTTCCCATCCCGAGGTGGTTGTCTCCTGCAGGTTCATGCTAGGCAGAGGGCTTTCACGTTGAACGCCAGGAATACTTGGTTGGTCTGTTGACATCTATTTTCAAATGTTTCTCCAGCGAGCTCAGACAGATTTATGTTTCCATCAGCTGTTTACATCTGCGTCCCTCACACTGACCAGCAGTCTGGTCAAGCTTTCATGCTGTTGATCCTTCAGATGTATGTTTATATTAAGTTGCATTATTTGCATTTGTTTGGATAATGGTGTTAAACAGATCTCATGTGTTTACTGATCTGTGGTATTCTTCTGTGAACTGTCTGTTCATCTTTCTTGCCCATTTTTAAAGTCTCTTTGACTTTTTTACAGTTTTACATAAACCTTGTATGTGTGCACTATAAATAATAACCATTTATCTCTCATGAGTTATGTTTGTTAATATTATGATGTATGCTTTTAGTAAAATGAGATAAAGTTTTAAATTATTTTAACACCTACCATGAGCGCCTTTTAAGAGGACAATTTATATTGCTTATTGATGAGTCACTCAGTTCAGGCACAGTGAGAGCGCAGTTTGTGGAAACAGTGAAAGGCACGAGTTTTGGTCATAGCACAGTGCTGGGCTGGTGACATTCGACAAGAGCCATAGCAACACAGTAGAAATGTGGGAGGAGATGTTTCCAGCACATATACCTGAGAAAGGTTCACTACTGAGTGTGTACAAAGAACTCATACAAACTGAAAGGGCAAACAACCAATTTTTAAAATTTTTTAAAATGGACAAACAGCCCATGAAAGAAGAAATCCAAATGCCCAAGAAACATGAAAATTTTGTGAAACCTACTTAGAAATACATATAAATATCAATGAAAATACACCTATCAGATGTTTCCTGATGTGAAGTATTTTTGAGGATGTGAAGTATCAAAATGCTCATAAATCATTTGTGGCACTATATGACTGTTTTGAGAGAATGTCTAGTCATAGTCATGCACATTGTGGAAAATTCCTAGAAAATTCATGCACAGTAATATTCATAGAAACATTGTTTATAAATTCCTCAAGTTGGAAACAACTCAAGTAGCCTTCAATAGTACAACAGATAAATAATGATATGAACCACAACACAGATGCGAACCTGAACAGATTTGGGCTACGTGCTCCAGCATGGATAGAGCTTATCAGTATGTTTTGAGAAAGAAAATTAAGACAACAGAACATGAGTGGTATTACTATATGCATAAGAAGTTCAAAAACTAAATTACATGACTTAAGGGTGTTTGCCTAGGTAGTAAAGCTATAAAGAGAAACAAGAAAGTGATGACCAGCCTTCATAGAATATGGGTTAGCTCTAGCAAACAGAGTGGTGATCATGATGAGAAAAAGAGTGTGTGTGTGTGTGTGTGTGTGTGTGTGTGTGTGTGTGTGCATGTGTGTGGAAGAGAGACACAGAGACAGACACAGAGAGTGCTTTCTTGACCTAAGTGTTTTCTGTTTTGTTTTGTGCATTTTTCTAATGCAAATGTTACTTAACAATGAAGTACAAATTTGGAAAGTTAGAAGAAGTAAAGAAATGAGAATTCAGGAAGTGAAAATGAACACTGTGAAAGAGGGAGAAAGACAACATAGCAAAGAGCTAAAGTCTGCAAAAAAATATTGTAAATTATATATTCTGAGCGCTGGTGTGTACCAAAGGAGTTTGAGGGCAACACTATCCGATATCTAGTTGGTTTCGTTGGCGTCTGTCTTTTTACTCTTAACCCTTAAGTAAATTATGTTAAACATATAGATGATTTAAAGGAGATTTTTAGGAAAACCAAAGAAAAGTAACCAATTTTGTGTGAGAGGGAAGTGTATGTGAACTGAGACAAGAATTTCTTGAGGGAGTGGGCATAGCCATGAAATGTGAGGGCAGGCTCAAAATCCTGGAGAGGGTCAGAGTCCCATGGGCTCTCAGTGTGGTTTGAGCCACATGCCTTTTTTTGTTTTGTTTTTGTTTTTTTTTTGCCAGCATCAGCTTTATTCATTTATTTTTGTCTTTATCAAGTTAATTATCATGAACACAGATTAACACCAGACTAACCGACCAAAAAACAGACAAAAAACATGAAATAATTACACTAAATCAAGGTGTACTTTTAGATACATTGGTTATGCTGGATTACAATAAGTTTTTCTCTCTTTTCACCCTATTGTCTATTTTTTGTAGTTATTTATATATTCAGTTTCTTATATAAGAGAAATCAGTATTTAAGCTTGTGTGTCTGATTTACTTCATTTAGAATTATGGTCAGGGAGCATCCTTTTCCTATAAATGGCTCAAGTTTACCCTTCTTTGTAAGCTGAATGGATTTATGTCTCCAAAGAACTGTGTCTTATCTGATGCTTATAGAGACTAGTTTATGGCAGGATTTTCTCGTCTTTCTTTTCCTTCCTGGTTATTCTATACAGAAATCTGAAACTTATAGGTAATAAACCTGTAGTTTAGTGGTCTTTGTTTTTTGACTTCCAATTTTTGTTATTTTTAAAAAATGATATCACTGTATTTTTACATGGCTAAGCCTTGGATTTGCCTAGATTTACTCTTAGTATAAGTGTGGAGGGGGCACTATTTGATTTCTGAGAAAACCAGCTCAGAATTTTTCTGTTAATTGGAAGAGCCTCATTTAATCACATATTAAAATTTCATATTTATGTACTCTGACCTAGTTCATTGATTCTATTCTTGTACTGTTACTATCTTTATTATTTTACAGTTCATCGATAAATCTAAATCCATGATAAAGTCTTCTTTGTCAACATTTTCTTGACACTTCCCTTTTATTTTTTCCCCAAATACCCTTAGAATCACTTTACCATGCTTCAAACAAAAGTAGACAAATACAAAAACAAAACAGAAAACTCTTTTAGGACTTCAACAGGGAAGGCACTGAATTGATAGATTAAGTAGCAATATAGAAAGTTCTTAGTCAAGAACCCAGTGTCTTTAATTACCCAGGTATTTTGTGTTTTTCTTGTGTATTTTAATCAATCCTAATATTTACAGTCTCCAAACCATCCTGTTTGTGTCTCAGCATCCAACATTAACTTTATATTTTAAAGCAATTGAGACAACAGACAGAGGGAAGGAGCAAGGACAGTGCCTCGACCCCTCGGCTGCCCCTCTGCAGCCTGGGCAGCTGTCCTGCACGGCACACGTCAGCAGGTGCTTCCTCCCACCCTGCCAGCTGTGGGTGTGATAGTGGGCCTGTGGGAGCAGAGCAGGGAGCCGTGCGCCCGCCCATCAGTGCCCTGTTCACTTTTAGACAATGCGATCAAGTAACTGCTGGTTCTACCACTTTCTACAGCTCTCTTGTAATGAGTGGGATTCTACCCGCACAGTGCTCAGAGCTGTGAAAGCAGCCCAGCAGATCCTCCCAAGGAAGGCCTCCTTGAGCAAGAGCAGGGACGAGGCGCCTTCTTTCTG